GTAATTTTGAGAGAGTGAAACAGGGAGATTTACCAGTGGTTTTGGGATAAAAACAAATAACATTTACACTAATATTAGCTTTTGCATGGGTTTCGTTAATCCACCACTACACCCAAAGTATCACTATATATCACGCATTTAAGATGATATAAATCACAGTATGTATTTGTGTATAAAAAATCTACTTATTTTGAATATAATTTCACATTGTGATTCAAACCTTGAATCCTTGATTTCATCTCCCAAATATTATCTACTGAACTATTGAACTAAATCCGTGCAAATATATCACCATATATCTCATAATCTTTTTTAGATCACGAGAGAAATTTATTGTTATTATTCAAAAATGTATATTGAGTAATTTCCTTTTCTTAATAATCTGGAATCATTATAAATTGCATTAGAACAATCATGTATCAATGTATCATAAGACTTTTTTTTTTTTATTGTTACTGACTCTATTACATTGTAGTATCAGTTCATGTATCATAGGATTAATCCATATACATTTAACAAGAATTTAATGAAAAGTGATGGATCTGCTACGAAACCTGTGGTAAAAAAAGAAAACTACGAAACCTATGGTAAAAAAAAAAAATTTATTGTTCTTTATTTTTAACTTGAAAAACTGTTTTTGAGAAACATTTCAGCGTAGCCACTAACGTGAACTCATGGATTTCCCGCCACTGCTTCATATGTTCTTTTATTTTTATTTTGTTTTTTGTTTTTCTCAAAACATATTTAAATATTCTGACTTTTATTATTTTTATTATTAGTAAATTGCTCGTGCTCAAGGCGCTAGGCCCAAAGACACCGGTTCAATTAATAAATAAATAATACAAATTATATGACTAAGAATAATATTGTAGTTCCTAAGAATCAAACCCTGATATGTTAGTAGAAGAGAGAAGGCAAGATGACAGACCACCAAGTTAGTAAGTTGATCGTCTCCCAGATAATGAATCCCTGACGGGCCAAATCCCCTCCTTCTATATTGTACTTCAACCCTTGGATGTGGTCCACTTGTACGGAATCCATGCCTCCTCCTTTCCCTCTAACAATGTGTGCTACGTCTCCAGACTCACTTGCACGTACTCCATCCCTCCGTCTACATCAACACGTCTTCACCACCCTAATCACGCACATATACACTTTCAATCCTGCTCCCCCTTTTGGTGGGGTGCCGTCGCCACACCCCGGGCACACCAGGCCCGCTGGGGGGCGCCATGGTCGGAGGCTCGCCAGTGGTGGCCAGTTTGTAATGCTTCCAGCCCACGAAAGTAGGAACAAATATAAGAAGTAACGACTTAGTACACAAGAGATGAAGCGCCCTGGTGGACAGGGTCACGCGTGTTGTACGGGAAGTCCCCACACTCCGCGCACGGGGCATGAATTATGGCGGGCCACTGACCAACAAGATTTGAGTCAACCTCCTTCCTTCACTCCCCTTGTGTCAAAACTTTTTCAACAAAATGGGCCCCGGGGTTCATGGCCTGATCAATATATGTGTGTGTGTGTTTCTCTTGCGTTTTAACTTTTATGTTTTCTTGAATTTTGTTCCTTTATTTTTCGTTTTCATGTTATCTAGATTAAAATATTGAACTTGAAAGTTGGAACTTAGAATTATGATACTTTCTATTACTTTCAATTCCAAGTTGCACGGTTCGTACAACTATGTGGACCTGTATGAATCCATGAATCTATGATGATTATCATTAGCAGAAAAATCATTGCTAATGCTAACTTGCAGGCATGAAGGAGATTGGAGAATAATTAGGGTAGTAATAATAATAATAAAATGGGAATTTTTTTTGTCAGGTCAATTAGAAAAGAGACAAAATTAATAATAATTATATCGTAGTGAGTGTTCGCTGAAAAAGATCATTCGCATAAAAAATCGTGCACAAACCCAAATTAGCATTAACACTGATTTTTTTTAATCTTTTGTTGCTATTTCGTTCACATCAGTTAGCTTGCCTAAAAAATTGAGAAAAACTCATTATTTAAAATGCTCTTACAGGATAAGAGCATTTATCAAAATTATTTATCTCCATTATTACCATGAAGTTGAATACAATCACAATATTTTTAGAATTGTTAATTTAATACTGATCACATAAGATATGTCATGAACACTCAAATGATAGTGTCAACCTTGAATTTCTAAATAAAAAATTGAATGACTTGAACGCATAACGTAAAATCTACCGAATAAAAATGATCGCGGTAATATAGTAGTATTTTTCATATAATATAATATATTCATGCTTTGTCTTGTGCAAAGTTGACTAAACTTCCACCTCCCTTATGAGGTAAGCTATTTGTATTTATATGTACAATACATCTTATTTTTACTTATTTTATGTCTAATAGAAATTACAACATGAAAAAAGAAAGTTTTTCTTTATACTTCATAAGGAATTCCATAAACTTTTAAGTTGCATTCAACGGTTTCCATTAATTATATAATTTTTCATTCTTCGTTTCATATTTTTCTATTTTTGAGATGTATAAGTAAACATATTCTTTTACTCTCTGTGAATAAGTTTCACACAATATGATGTGATGATATTTGTTGCGGCAATTCGGGTAGAAGTTAATGAGTGGTCCGGATAGGATGCTTCATTATTCAAGCTTTTATTTGTTTAGGTAAAGAGAAGCTTTCATGATGCTTAGCTTAAAGGAGTGTATGTAGGCATGCATAATATTAAGGTGGTGGGATATACATACCCCCTTCACACCCTCAATAAATATGGATGTATTCTCACATCATCACCTAATATTATGTATATTATATATTTTAATTATAAACAAAACAAAAGAAACAAAAAAATAATAATAATAATAATAATAAAAAATCCCCATATAGTAGTGGAAAGTTGTAAACAATATTATTATAAAATTTTCCAAATATATACCCATGTTTTTGAAAGAGCATAATCTATACTATATATAAAAACAAAATCCTGAAATTTTAACTTCCCGCCCAATTCCTAAAAAATCTCTCTTCCAAATAAAATATATTGATTTCTACTTTCCCATTCGTACAATCATTTTGCGTTAAAATTCTATTCTAATATTATAAAATAGTGTAATACAATCTATACTATATATAAAAACAAAATCATGAAATTTTAACCTCCCGCCCAATTCCTAAAAAACCTCTCTTCCTAATAAAATATATTGATTTCTACTTTCCCATTCGTACAATAATTCAACGTTAAAATTTTATTCTAATATTATAAAATAGTGTCATACAATCTATATTATCTATAAAAACAAAATCCTGAAATTTTAACTTCCCGCCCAATTCCTAAAAAATCTCTCTTTCTAATAAAATATATTGATTTGTACTTTTCCATTCGTACAATAATTCTGCGTTAAAATTCTATTCTAATATTATAAAATATTGTAATACAATCTATACTATATATAAAAACAAAATCCTGAAATTTTAACTTCCCGCCCAATTCCTAAAAAATCTCTCTTCCTAACAAAATATATTGATTTCTACTTTCCCATTCGTACAATAATTATGCGTTAAAATTCTATTATACTATTATAAAATAGTGTAATACAATCTATACTATATATAAAAACAAAATCCTGAAATTTTAAATTCCCTCCCAATTCCTAAAAATTCTCTCTTTCTAATAAAATATATTGATTTCTACTTTCCCATTCGTACAATAATTCTGCGTTAAAATTCTATTCTAATATTATAAAATATTGTAATGCAATCTATACTATATATAAAAACAAAATCATGAAATTTTAACTTCCCGCCCAATTCCTAAAAAATCTCTCTTCCCAATAAAATATATTGATTTCTATTTTCCCATTCGTACAATAATTCTGGATAAAAAATCTATTCTAAAATTATAAAATAATGTAATACAATTCACTTTGCACATCTAATCTATACTATATATAATAACAAAATTCTGAAATTTTAACTTCCCGTACAATTCCTAAAAAATCTCTCTTCCGAATAAAATATATTGATTTCTACTTTCCCATTCGTACAATCATTTTGCGTTAAAATTCTATTCTAATATTATAAAATAGTGTAATACAATCTATACTATATATAAAAACAAAATTCTGAAATTTTAACTTCCCGCCCAATTCCTAAAAAATCTCTATTCCTAATAAAATATATTGATTTCTACTTTTCCATTCGTACAGTAATTCTGCGTTAAAATTCAATTCTACTATTATAAAATAGTGTAATACAATCTATACTATATATAAAAACAAAATCATGAAATTTTAACTTCCCGCCCAATTCCTAAAAGATCTCTTTTCCTAATAAAATATATTGATATCTACTTTCCCATTCGCACAATAATTTTGCGTTAAAATTCTATTCTATTATTATAAAATAGTGTAATACAGTCTATACTATATATAAAAACAAAATCCTGATATTTTAACTTCCCGCCCAATTCCTAAAAGATCTCTCTTCCTATAAAATATATTGATTTCTACTTTTCTATTCGTACAATAATTCTGCGTTAAAATTCTATTCTAATATTATAAAATAGTGTAATACAATCTATACTACATATAAAAACAAAATCCTGAAATTTTAACTTCCCGCCCAATTCCTAAAAGATTGCTCTTCCTATAAAATATATTGATTTTTACTTTCCAATTCGTACAATAATTCTGCGTTAAAATTCTATTCTAATATTATAAAATAGTGTAATACAATCTATAGTATATATAAAATCAAAATCCTGAAATTTTAACTTCCCGTCCAATCTATTTTCTTTAACGTAAGAGTTGTAACATAGAATAAATTGTAATAATTAATAACTATAGTCTAGGATTAAATTTGGAATTGTCAGGAAAGATAAACGACCTCTGGTGAAAATACTAGTAATAAGATAACAAGATTATAAGACTAAAATGTTGCCCTCTAGGTTTCTAACATATCATTTTTCTTTAATATGTATTGCTCTTATTGGGCTACATAGTACTGAACCAGACAGTGGAACTAGAAGCTTTTCGATTCACTTCCGTAAATCTACAACTAATCTCAGAATGAAATGTATACACAAATTCAATTTTTTTTTTCCAGTTTTATTCTGTAACTATAACTTGTCTTAAGAATAGGGGTATAAGACAAAAAATCGAGGGGGTATACACCTCAAAGTATTACAATGCAAAAAAAAGGGCACTCGTACCTCATACATCGCGAGGGATTCAGGGACATGCCAAGAAATTAGTTATCGACATAACTACATATACAACTTTGTGTATATATATATTTATATATACTCGTGCTTCAAACACAGGCAACCTGCCTTCGCTTAATTGTTCCCTCCAGGTTTTCTGATACAAATGCAGTCAAGTTAGGGTCCTCGAATCCAAGCTCCGGGCCAGTTCTGCAGGAAAAGTGTATATATACTGTTTCATTTAATCCATTTCGAGACGAAAATGTGCTGTGAAGGAGAGTATAACATAGATGTATTCCTATAAACGCTTCTTACTTTGGATCCAAAACCAGTTTCTGAACTTCTTTAATGGCAGAACTTGCTGCATAGAGTGATATCTTTTCCACCTGCTTAAGTGACAGAAATGAAGAACAAGAAGGGCTTATTTCTCTAGTCGAGAAACTCAAAGAGTGGCAAGGGAAAGGGATGTCAGAATAAGACAAAGCCTGACCTCCAACATTTGAAGCTTGGTTTCATGGTCATTAGGAAGGCCACGGATTTCTTCGGCCATTCTCGCAGCCTCCCCTAAATTTTCTGGAGAGAGAAAATCAAGGCCCAACTGAACTGTTGACTGCATTGTCATAGAGGTCAAAAAGCAATTAGTTCTATTTGCCTAATATTTTCCACAATATATGTTTATGTTCAACCAAAAAAAAAAAGGCCGGAAAATATTTTCTCTACTAAGCATATACAGAAACTAACTCCTTGAGAACAAATTGCAAAGTTAGTGCCAATGCCTCACCTGAAGATTCCTCACTTGGAAAGGGCAGCCAGCAGGAATAAAGATAGCTTGCCCTAAATGTTGCTCAAATGACCAAGGCTCTATTCCTAGAAAGATTCAAATCGCAGGAACTTTCTGGTTAGGAAAAGAAGTAGAAAATATGTCCAACGAAAAATAGTCTTAAGAGAAACACCAATAGGTTCATGATATATTAATGCCAAGTGCAAATTTAAGAATGCAACTTTAATGTGAAAGATAAGATGAGAATAAGTGAGCTCAGTTTCAACAAGTGAATAACTTAGGAGTTGTGTGTCTCTACCTATGGAAATTGTGCAACCAGTTCCAGCTAACACAACTGAGTATAAATAGGTATTACTTGGAGGAGGATAGGGATGAAGTGGAAGAAACGAGAGAAAGAAAAGGCACGCAAAAAAAAAAAAAAAAAAACCAAAAACAAATTGATTAATGGGGAAATAGCAAGTGAATTTTATTTTATTTAACGAGTATGAACAAGTTAGAGAATCACTGCCTCAAAAAATTTCAATACTTATACAGTAGACAAAAACAGGTTATGAAAAAATTTGGACAGCTGGTATGGAGTCAATATATCTGCCATTTAATAACATCTCCATGCTAAAATCAAAATTTTGCATTATATTGTCAACTACAAGCATGCATGGCTCTTACCAAATTTGTCTTTTAGCTTTCCTTTATGGTGTCTGTTCAGATATATCTTCCCATCATAAAGAGGACTAGAAACCTGAAAGAAACAATGGAGACTTAGCCAAATGAAAATCAAACATAAAACCGATAGCTTTGACAGAAATGACTCCAGTTCAAGTAGGAAAAAAACCTACAGAATCATTTATTATGCTCTCAGGCTCTCCAAATTCTTTTCTGTGACATGTTAAATACTCAATAAGCTTTGGTATATCCTGTCGGCGAAAGACATCCCAAAGAGCTCCAGAATGTGTACGCTCAAATTTCTTTACATCGGTGCCACTTAAGTCTTCATCAATGGCATCATTTGTGTCGCTGCTAGAAGTTCTTGTCCCCTGGTCCACCAGCATGTCAGGAGCATCTGAATCCATATTAGCATCATTTTCATCCAGCCTATCCTGTTCAGCGGGTGATAATGTGAGCAATTCTCCATTCAAATTATTTTTTGGATCATCAGATGCTTCTTTTGCATTGTATTCAGCAGACGCCTTTGGTATCTTCTCTGATTTAGTCCTCTGCCAGCCTTTCAGTTTGGCTTCATTTGTATGTACCAATAAGAACACCTATTATAGAATGGAAGAATGGTAATCCAACAAGTTTACTATTTGAAAGCAGTATAATATTGTGCATTTACTCATGGAGACTTGAGGAAACAAGAACATAAGCAAACCCTTCAAATCAACTATGCACAAATATAATTAAAATGATCAGACAACTATTATTCAGATACTTTAGGTATGAAATCCTATACTGCTACAGATGGTTAGTTGACAGTCATAATTCATACAGTAAATACACATTATTCTAAAGAACTTCAATAAAAACTTTTCATATCAAGTAACTTGACTTTTGTTAGACCAGGATTGTATGTTCATAGTATATGCCAACAGACTATTCTTTAAAAAAAATAATACTCCATAATAAATAAATACTATATGCCAACCCAACTGCAACTCAAAAATGTTATCTTGATTAGATGACTATGAGTTGACAAAAGAATTAAAAAATAATATTAAAATAAAAGCTGCGTCACTCATTGATACTTCATATAAGTTCTAGAGAGTGAAACCGTGTGTATAAATAAAAAGTAAAACAGATGTAAGCCATACCTGAGACAAACTTTAGATTGGATAGAACTTCAAAGCATTATATAAACACAACTTTACCTTTGCTTTCAATTATAATCACAAATTCATACAAGTTACAAAGAATAAGTCCACACACAATACAAAAGTTTAAGACAGAGAATCAGAAGACAAAAATATTGGAAATATTCTCTGTCTGAGTCAAAATTTAGATTAAATAGAACTTCAGAACATGATAATAATGTGAGAATGTGAAATTACTTTCTTTTGCAATTAATATCACCAAGTTGAAACACAAAAGACAAAAGTATTTAAGCAAGCTATGGAATTGTGAAAATATGGCTAGACTGCCACTTGAGCCTCTGAAAGGATAAGCTTAACTCACCATATCACGCATATTAACATGAAGGTTGTGCACTGCATCACCTTTGCCAAGCTCTTCATACAATCCATAAGACATAAAGATCTTAGGACCAACATCATTCTGAAGTGAATAATGAGGCAGCTTGGCAGCAACATTTAGAAGACCCCACTTGGAGTGGATGAACTCCAGTAAAGGAAGTTTACTAATTATTTCAGGTCTCTGATACAACAAAAATTCTTCTGAAGCACTAGGAGAAGGCCAATCCTTCAATTTTAACATTTGTGGCAAACCATTTTTGCAAATTCTCCCCTCTGAATATCCCCTGATGAACTCACCAAGATGAATATCAATCTGCAGAGACATTAAGCATAAGAGATTAGAGACAGTTTCAGCACCACTCAAAAGAAGATAATGCTTGACCAGTAGTACAGTTCAATAGGAAAAAGGACATAAGTACATGAATATATGAATATATGATAGTCCCACTGAAAAGTTTTGAACAAAATGTGCAGATTTGTGGACCATGCAGGGTCTGTAGAAGTGTGCACAACCTTACCTCTAGTTTTAGAGAAATTAAAACATAGCCTAAAGGTCAACAGGTTGGATATGGAAAATCAATGGATACTAATACTAACTCATAATAGATGGAATTTTGAAATCATTTACCAACCTCAGTCCAATTGTAACAGTCAATAGCCTTCACAGTTCTATCTTCATCTTTTGTTTTCTCATCCGCTGTCTCCCGCACTCCCCTCCATATAAACATGGGATCCCAAACTGATGTTGATGAGATATTTAAAACCTCCTTAACAATAACAGGCTTGCCTATGCTCCAGTGCTTCCTGAAGTTCTCAATCCCTTCAGTTTTAATATCTTCAGAGTATGGATCATACAAATAATTATCATTGCCATTCTCTCTATGTGCAGCCTTGCATAGCCTGAGTTCAGAGTCAGGTTCCTCTACATAGCTAGTGTCACATAGCTTACAGCCACCAACCATTTCTTCAACATTTTTTACCAGTTTTGCAACCCAGTTCATCTTGAAGATGCGCTTGAGAACTAAAGTCAAGGAGCCACAGCCCCCATACTTTCTCGGAGGGCACGGTATAGAGCCATCACTATTGGCTTTCCAATCAGAAATCCTTTTAAACAATTCTAATTGAACATTGGATAATTTCACTGGCTCTAAAGTCATTTCTCCACCATCAATCTGGTCAGAAATCCGGTTCACAATATCTTCCTTGGAGGAAAATTTAGCAGCTTCTCTAATATCTTTGCAGCAGCTAAGGCACAAATCATATGAGCAATTTGAGCAGTGTCGATGATAATCAATAATTGGAATCCTGCAGAAGTTACTGGAAGAAGAAAAAAAATCTTTTTAACTATATTATTACTATATGTGAAATAACCTTTAACTGAGTAAAAGAAACTACCAGCGCATTACTATACTGTTACAGTTTACAGCAAGATACAAAAACCATATAAATAATTCAAAATATTACCAGCACATCTGCTCGTCGGAATTTAACTTCATCCTTGCAAGATCTATCCCATTTCCTGAATAAAGTATAGGATGCTAAGATAGTAAAATTTAAAAGCAAAATTAGAACTGAAGTCTCTAAATGAAATATAAAGGATAAACAGGCTACCTCTGAGCTTTCTTTCCAACTCCACCTCAGAGCATTGATTGTGATGGATGCGCTTAACAACAGGAAGAACTGCAGATAAAAGGGAATATAGGTATTGCAGCTTCTTTTGGGCAGGAATATCTCTTATCCTGGCCTATGCTCAAAATAATTAAATTATTTACATTAATGAACTCACAAACTGTGATAGGAACATTATAATAAGCTCATAACGCATTAAAAAATAGTCCTTGCAAGAAAATAAACAATTACCTTTATCAAAATATCTGCACGTAAACACACTTTGCAAGTACAAATACTACGACAAGCAGGACACATCCTCTGAATATCTTCCATTGGGATGTCAGAATACCTGACAAACAAGCACTCCTGTTATCAAAATGGTAAAATGGTAAACTGTAAATGTATCTACCATTGAAATAATATCCCACCAAGTTGAGATGCATCTTTCACAGTATCCTCTTTTATCACATTTAAGGCACCAAATAACCCTGTGATCATTCTGCCGACATTGATGACAAGGTTGCCCACCGGTGTTATCAGAAGAATCAGAGCTTCCTTCAGAATTTTCCTAAGAAATTAAGAAAGTAAGAGGATATGTGCAGAAATCACTATAACTATAAAAATGTATTTGATTGACAAAACTATAAGAGGACAAAAGTCAGTCTGTAGTCCTAGAAATGTCAACAACAGCCAAACAACTTGCTTATGGGTAGAACCCCTTTGTTTGGGCACATAAAGCTGCAGGAAGGAGAGATGTTCCAATCCTACCAAGCAGGGCACCAATGGTGTCGGTAAAACTTAATAATGCAGAAATAAAACTACTATTTCACCTAATTTAAGTAGTTCATATATCTTTTTGAATCAAAGCATCATTTGTTGAAAAGATCATGACTTTGCTAAAATTAAATCCTTTCAGCTTCTAGAATAAAACCATAGAAAAATGGTTACATATCATTGATTCAAACTTACTGTCATAGGGCTAGAATCAAACATCTTCTGAGATCTGTTTTTGGAAGACTCCAGACAAGAAGGGGGAGGTGTCCTGTAAGATCTTAAGCTCTCTTCATATGGTGAGGCATCTCTTTGCAGATCATCACTCGACTTCAGAGTACCACGAACTGGATAAGCCCTGTTTGAAGTTGTTTCAGGAAAATAACCAACTGGACTTTTAGATATCTTTTCCTTATTCTTCTTCCCAGAAACTGAACCAGAAAAATCTCCCATACTCTGGTTATTGAGTGGTAAATCCATGTCATCACTTTTACTCTCCAAGTATATCTCACTTTCACCTAAAGGTTTTCGCTTTGCTTTTTTCATACTGGCTCTCATTGCAGAATTTGCAGCTCTCTTCTTAGCTTGTATGTAGTGCTTTTCACACACTGTTTTATCGGGCATGGACATAGCAGTGCATCTCCATTGTTTCCCATCCGACCTCTTACACCGCAAATCATCAGGAATCCCAATATTATCCTCCCCTACCCCAGAGGTCGATTTTGGATGCTCCATTGTGATGTTCGACTGTAAGACTTACTGATAACGTAGCATTCAAAACCTTAGAATGGCCAACCTAAACACAGGAATGGGAGTACATACAGAAAAAGTATCAAGACGGAATCGCTAGTTAAGAGATACTCCGTACCTAAGATCCTATGAGAGTTCAAACATATGGAAGAACAAAAGAATATCAACAATGGCCAGGGTTTAGTAGTGAAAAGAAATCTAAATAAGTGAGAACCAGGCCAAATGTATAAATAAGATTATCATTTAAACACAGCAAATCACATAGCAGGTATATGAATGCATTTCTCTAATAATTAATTAAGTACACAAAAGGAAAAGAGAATTACATTGCTTATTTCTTGTTATCCTCCTTTCTGTAACTCCATGTCAAAAATGTTGTAAAGTGGACAGATTTTCTTCATTAAAAAAATAAATAAAAATGCATTAGATTAGACCCATAAACTTACAAATGTAAATATGTTAAAAATCATTTACTTCTCAGAAATAATCATTGTTATGTGGCAGCAGACCAAAAATGTCTTCTTTAAAAAAAAAAAAAAAATTAGGCACATGAGACTATGAGTGCATGAGATTGGAGGCAAACACCAGGACATTACAGAGTACAAAATACGAAACACTACACCATAAGTACATAATTTGGGGCAAGCTGAAAGCTTTACTCCACTTGTTCGTTGCAACCCAAGAACACGAATTATCACTGAACACATAAATAACCACTTTAGAGCTCATTTTCAGCTGTTGCGATTTGAAACTAAAAACCAATAAATAAATAAATAAAATACAAAGCTGTCTATTCAAGGGACAAATCAACACAGTTATAGAATCACAAGCTGAGAAAAAGGATGGAGAGCTCACACAAACTACGAATTGAACAAATTAGGGTAAGAAAGTAGAAGACAAAGCGTGAGTTCCAATTGAGCTAACAATGAAGAACTGTATCTACTAGTGTGTGTGTGTGTGTGTGTGTGTGTGTGTGTGTGTGTGTAAATGCGTGTATGCATATGTGTGTGAATGTATATAGAGATAGAGAGAGAAAGCGAGAGGGAGCAAACCTGCGGTATCGACTGGAAGGAATGGGAGAAGTTTTGGTGTGTTGGATGGGGAGAAAGGAGAAAGATGATACGCAGGAGAAAGATGAAACGACGACGTCGAGGCACCATTACAACGCGCTGTGAGTCTGAGAAAAAGGGAAATTTTCGCAGAGAACCATACAGTTAACTCCAATAATAGGGCTGGATTTTTATTACTTTTAGGAATGGACGGTATTGGTCTAATAACTCATAAATATGCGTAATTAATTATTAAATTTGAATTATTGTTTTCATTTTCATTATCATATCTTAGGAACAACTCATGAGGCCATTAATGTATTTTATGTTTTCATTCTCATTAAATTAAATTGTACTTTCCTTTCTTAACTCAATAGTCCATTAAGTGGGGATCGGTATTTAGTGTCCACAAGGAATTCACTACATTCATGTAATTCTCACACTGTGACTGTCAAGGTTCGATCTTGTGTCATTGTTCACAATCTACATACTTATGAACTAATTAATCTGCATATACGGGCACAATTTTATATTATTGGCAAAAGTGATAGGGGTACTAGGTCAATGGAATGTGGGTATGATAGTTGGGCTCAATGTCAATGGTGTGGAGTGCATAGCATGTCATTGGTAGTGATGGGGAATACGCGCTGGTTAATCCACCGAGAATATATATGCATTTCTCGGTCATGGGACAAGTTGTAACGTTAGGCTGTCTGAAGCGAGGCATGTTTGAGCAGGTGTGGACTTCAACCAAAAAGTGACTAGTTAAAATGAAAATGGGCCAAAGGTAACGCTAACCTCGACCACAACCGATCTGCTAAAGAACTTTGTGACAATCAGGACCTTGTATAGGACTAATGTAAACCATCCCACCAAATGATTAGGCCTTCATGGAACAAGTGGCATTCGTATACTTGCTGCTGAGTCCAATGATAACACGTGAAAGACATGTTGAGATATCGACATGTGTTCCATAAAACTTTCATATATAAAGTGTATTAATTAATTGGGCCATGGATTAAGGGGAGGGGGGAGAAGGTGATCACACACCTATGAAAATCTTGGCTCATTGGAAATTGAAAAAGATTGTAGGTAGAAACACCAATTATTGAACTCAACCCCCACCACACATACACTTTTGCCACATTATTCCATTGTTTGTGGGCTCGTGCTATGCCCAAAGTGAAGTGCAAAAAGGCCCAAAAAAACTAAGCCTATTGCCCAACTATAGCAGCCCATAGAGCCAGTTAGGTTATTTCAAGGTTCAAACATTATTCAAGCCCATGTATGGTCGCCATCTTATGAAAAGGCATTAAGGCAGCAATCGTTATGCGTTGGACCCGTGTCCAGCATGCTTGCTGGACACGGGTAACAATGCCGTTAGGCACTGTTATCTCCTTTTTTTTTTTTTTTTTTTTTTTTAATTTCAAACAGCTTTGTTATAGGAGTATATGTTCATAAATTTATTACTATATTATTAATAACTGTACATTCATAACTCCATAACTGTACGTTCATAACTCTATAACTGTACATTCATAACTCCATAATTGTACATTCATAACTCCATATTATATATTCATAATTTTCGAAGCTCTATGTTCACAATTTTAGAGCTCTATGTTCATAATTTTATCACTATATGTTCATAATTGTAAGTTCATAATGTTAGAGCTCTTTGTTCATAATTCGATCAATAACTGTACATTCATAATTCCATAACTGTAGATTCATAATCTCATAACTGTAGATTCATAACTCCATAACTGTAGATTCATAACTCCATAACTGTACATTCATAATCTTCGAAGCTCTATATTCACAATTTTAAAGCTCTATGGTCATAATTTTATCACTATATATGTTCATAATTGTAAGTTCATAATGTTAGAGCTTTGTGTTCATAATTTCATAATTGCATAACTGTACATTCATAACGGCATAACTGTACATTCATAATCCAAAAAAAAAAATAACGCCGTTAACGGCAAAACGCGCGCGATTTTTTTTTTTTTTTTAACTAAATGACGCGTTTTTTTTTTTTTTTTGAAAAACGACGTCGTTTTGGGCCCGTATCCACAATTCACTGTGGACACGGGTCCAGGGCATAATTTGCCTTAAGGCAGGGCATACACACACATATCAGGCAGTTCATGTGAGAACTGGTATTTATCTGAGAATGTATAGACTAATTTGATACCAAGATTATGTGGTCCAATGGTCAGTGGAGGCGTTATTAGCTCTTTGTGTTTCAGTAGGTTGAGAAAGTATATGAACAGATACTATAATGTAATAGAGCTAGTAGCATTCAAAAAAAAAAAGTATAGACTAATTTGATTTGTCCAAAATTGAAAATTAAGAAAAAGTAATGATGTATTTATAGATATGATAATGCATTTGGAACACGTATTTATCTGAGAATGTATAGACTAATTTGATTTGTCCAAAATTGAAAATTAAGAAAAAGTAATGATGTTTTTATAATTATGATAATGCATTTGGAACACTTTATAATGTATTCATGGATGATTGACCGTGTGTTCAGAATCTATAATAGTGCGCTCGCGTGTGTACTATTAGTTATCCGCACTATCAAGTACTTCCAAATGCTTTGTCATAATTGCAAAAATGTCACCACCATTTTCTTATATTTTCATTCATTTTCAATTCTAAATTGATGGATGAAATTAGTCTGTACATTTTTAGAGGGTTACTAATATGCAGCATTTTTACTTGTCAGAGTACGAATTTTTGGGATTTTACTCCCAAATTTGTCATCATCTTCTTCTGTCATGTTGTATCCTATAAGAGAATTATTATACAAAATTCAAATGTATAAATTGTTTCCAAACTACTTAACCGAAATAAATTAAGAACTTAAAGAGGCTGAATTTTTTAAAAATAAAAAAGGAAAAATGGCACTTTTTCCCCCTATGTTATATACTTATAGCATTTTTTCCCCCTCAATTATTTAAGTGGCTCTTTTTCCCCCTGAAATGTTAAATGGACATATTTACCCTTAAAATAAATATTTCATTTATTTTTATTCTCCAATAAATTATTACTATAATTTGGTTCAAACCAGATACTATAGTAACCAAACCAAAATATTCCAATTACAATTTATAATCAAAACGCGATATTTAGAGTTTATTAAAATCACGAACTGGAATGGGCGGTTCATGTTCCAAACTGAAAAAAATAAAATACATTTATTCTTGAATTTAAATTATTTTAAAATAAAGACGGTTCAAAATCGCGAACGGGATCCGGAACCGTCGATTCATGATCCAGTTTTTTTTTTTTTTTTTTTTTATTCTTAAATTTAATAAATTGAAATCCAAATATTGGGTTCTAGATCTGAATCATAACTGAAAACTTTTAATTCGATTGCTATAGTGTCTGGTTCAGTTCAAACCGAACCGTGGTAATCGCTACATATACGCAATAATTTGTTGGAGAAGTAAAATAAATAAAATGTTTACTTTAAGGGTAGAAATGTCAATTTAATATATTAGGGGAGAAAACCACCACTTTTAAAATAATTGAGGGGGCTAATGTGCTTACATAAATAATTGAGGGGGAAAAAGTGCTATAAGTATATAACATAGGGGGAAAAAGTGTCATTTTCCCAATAAAAAATAAAAAGATTAATATGTAAATTTGTAGTAATTAATTTAACTAGGGCCAAGACCTTGTGGTCTAGTGACATGAAGTGGCTCTCCCAAATGGGAGGTCATGAGTTTGAGCTCCAGTGGGGGCGGTATTGAATCTTTGTGCTTCAGTAGGCCAGGTTGAGAAAGTAGATATGATCAGATACTACATTGTAAACGGCTGCATAAGCAACTCAGTTGGTATAAAATGTTTTTGAAAATTTCAATAAATTCATTTGGGACTTGTGTTTCTGTCGCATGTCCCAAAAGAGTTTTTTATGTTAACTTTATTTAATTGTCTATGTATATGTGCAAGCACATATTAAATTAAAATACCTCAATCAAATCAAATTCAAAGCGAGTACTGTACATACCTTGAATCTTGATAGATAAATTTAAAATGGTTACATATTTTAAATGTTCAAATAGTATCATAACTAGTCGTGTTTGAATTCAAATAATATTAAATAGACGGGTATCCAATCCACTCCGTAATAATATCATTTATACCTTCTGCTATTGTAGTGGCCTGGGCTCATTCAATTGCAAATGACAATGGTGAATCTATGTAAGGATGGGAAAACAGTGATTGACGTGCATGCATTAATTTCTAGTAGTTGCCATAATTAGGGCATGGACCATCCTATATGTGTACAAATATACTATGCCATTATTATATTAGCTCGTCGATCGCCACTGCAATCGAGATTATATTTATACCAATTCTCACATGCATGCATATGTACGTCCATGCTTCTCTAATCTAACTATATATGCATGTGATGTAGCCATAATTTTGTTGATCAACAAAGAATATAATATTACAGAAAAATTTACAGTATCAATTGATAATTTAATATCGATATCTCTTACATTGAAACATTATTGAGTATAATCTAAAAAGTGTTTAGAATTGTATCATGTATAATGGACATTGCACATTGCCATCATGTGTTTAGCTCAATGGTTTAGTAGGAAATATTTGAGAGAATAGACAAAAGTTCGAACCTGAGTACACCAACATTTGGTTTATATCATTATCACAAATGCTCTGTTGGGCCTTTAGGATTGGGAACCAACCTTTTGGGAGAAAAGGTATAATGGTCACATTGTGATAACAATATTCATATACACTTGGTACATATTCTAATTTTTTTTAATATTTATTTTAATTATATTCATTACAGTTCACACTAGTATTAGTTAACACTTCACACTAAGGATAAGAATAAAGATATGAAGCCTCATAAACAATCTAAGGGGCAGAGTAATCATTAACAACAATTAATTAATCACGAAAGCATAAAGCCCTATTCAGTAGTCGGAATCTTTTAGTTATTATACTTAATAATTAGATCTTAATAACTAATCATACCATAATTATGAAGGAGGCTCTAGGGTGGATCAAGGGTCGTGGCTTCGTCAATGTTCGAGTGGAGACGGATTGCCTTGTTTTTTTCGGTCTAGCTTAATGAGTTTGATCTAAGGAAGATCGCTCGTATGTTGGCTTCATTGTCCGCTATTATATTGTATTAGTCTTATTAATAACATTGTTAGCTGTGGTTCATTTCATTCGTAGAAGTGTCAATCACGTTGCTCATTCTCTTGTTAAAGTTGAGGGAGCGTAGCTGTCTGACTCGATTTGGTTGGATGTTCTTATGAGTTCTTTTGAACTTGTTGGTTAATTAATTTAGTTGATTTGCTTGCTTTTAAAAATAACATGAGTTATGAGAGAAGTGACGAGTTTGGTACTTTACACTAGTGGTGTGTTGACACTTGGGAATTGACGGGTAATTCCATGGGTAAAGAAGTAAATTCTTTAATAAAATGTACTTGTAAACTTAGCCAAAATACTTTCCCCAAATCAACAAAAGCCTAAGTTGCTTATGTAATCAGCGAAGAAACCATACTCTCGTTTTTTTTTTTTTTTTTAATCAAATTTCAATATTTCAAGTCTATTTATAAAATTTAAAAAAAATAAAACAACTTAGATTACAATTTTTTGACAAATACAAAAATTCTGCACCATAACATAGACAAGCTTGATATATTTTCCCTCGATTAGCATAACTTTATGATATTTTGATTAGTAATAAATCATCACATCTACATCGAAAATTATCCCAAAATTGTGGAAAGCATAAAGTACCACAACTAAGAGATGACATCTTATAATTAATATTAATGGCTATTAGTTCATCAATACAGACAATATATATTGATTATTTATTTAAACATGTAAAATAGAGAAACAACTTATATGTGAATTTCACAGTTTGGAAGTGGACAAATTTGAGATTTCAGAGCGTGTGGAAGAAAAAGACATTCTATTGTAGGTATAAGAAGAAAAGAATTATTGTTGTGCAATGGGTTTAATTTCAACATAAGAAGGGGATTATAATTTGAAATTCCTATTTTACACCTCTATTATTAATTTTTTTTAAAGTTTACCGTTAGCTGCATATGGAATATTAATGCTAGGGATCAAATTCGTCACTTCGCTGATAATTGAGGGACTAAACTCGGATACGGTCATAACTTAGAGACTGAGTCGGAATTTGGTTATAACTCATGGACTACAAATGCAATTTTCCCTTATTAATATATTGATTAGTCGTAACATGAATTATTACATTTTTTTTGGCAAAAATTTGTGTGAGACCGTCTCATGGGTCTCAATCCGTGAGACGGGTAAGATATTTGATTAATGACGTCAAAGAATCGACTTATTAATTAAAGATTTGATTCATTAATCAAAGATCTGACCCGTCTCACGGGAATTGAGACCTGTAAGACGGTCTCACACAAGTGTTACCCATTTTTATTGGTTACATGAAATAAAGTGTTAATGATTTTTTTTTTTTTTTAAAACATAAAATTTAGTATGGCATCTCAGGTTATTAATTTATTTTCTCAATAAAAAGTTTGATCATGACGTGGCATGTTGAGGGGGAATGTAATGCTGGCTTTGGATCTTCACATCACAATAAATATTACTCCTCACTGCACACTCCAATGGAACCAACGCCAAATCTCATATATTTCCCTCCTCCATCTCTCCGCCGCCGTCGCCGCCGCCATTCCCCATCTGAAAACCACTCTCCGCAGTCAGTATACAAATGGGTAACTGTTGCGTTAGCCCCACCACCAAAGAACCACCGCAGAATTCTGTACGGAAAACTCTGCCACCCCACCACCCGTTGCCGGAAGAGGAGATGGTCAAAGAAGTCCTCTCCGAAACCCGCACCATTCGCAAGAACCCACCGCCGGTTCCTGCGAATGGGTCCCACCAGCCGAAGAATTCGCCGCCGCCGCCGGAGAAGCGCCGCGAAAGCCACGACAGGAAACCTTCCGCCGGGCTCTCCGGCGAGATTTTCTCTCCAGAGATCTGCAGCACTCGCAGCGGGAGTGTTCCTATGACCGGCAAGAGAGATCACGAAGCTGACGTCATGGTAGAGGCCCGCAGGAGGTCGCCGGCGAGGGTCCAAAAACGGTCCGTTCATGATAAAGGCGGTGTCGGCCGGTCGCCGTCGAGGAGATTTGAACCGTCCCCCGGCCGCGCAAGATCAAGCCCCGGGAGGGATCCCGGCCAGGGCTCCCCGAGTAATGTGTCAAGGATGGAGAACGGCGAGATCTCCGGCGGCCTGAGGTCGAGGTCGCCGATAATGCATGCGGAGAACGGAAATGCAAGAACCGGGTCGGGCCGGAGCCCGTCGGCGAGGAAAACGGGAAGATCGCTTGAACGAGTCAGATCCGAATTGGGCGACAAGAGCCGGAGGTTAGAAGAAAGCTATTCTAACAGAGACAGTAGAGAAAAGTGGCCCCCAACATATTCTAACGAGTCCCTGGAAAATCCACTTGTATCCCTGGAATGTTTCATTTTTCTTTAGGAACTTCTTGGTTAAATTGTAATACCGTGGATGATCAGGGGCAATTGTGGTAGGTGGTGCCTTTCTTTTTTTGTTTGTTTATTTTTAATGTCCCCGGTTTTGTTTTGTTTTGTTTTTCGTGTCCTATGTAATTAATTAAATTAAATTAAATAAGAAGTGAAGTGATTTTGGAGGTGAAAATAGTGAATTTTACAAAGTGAGAAATTTGTAAATAATAATAATAATAATAATGAGTCATGTCTGACACTTTTATCTTATTAGTCACTCTTTATTAATCACTACATGGCGTGCTATTACGGTCGAATTAACCAATTCACGAATAAATCACTAGGTTTTTGTCTCCAGAAGCGCCCGGTGGGCGCATGCACACCACGCGCTAGGCTGGTGTAAAACAACCTGGCCTTTTTAATTATTTTTCACTTGTCAACTTTTTTTTTTTTTTAATTTCCTTTCTTTTTCTTATATTTCTCTCTCTCTCTCTCCTCCCTGTTACTTGAATGGGCAACCTAAGCAAATTTGAGATGATGTATGGATCAGTTCAACGTGTTTCGAGATTAAAATAAAGTTGATAACTTTTCGGTGAGTGTCTCTACCTAATATTTACGAGGATTGCGGGTGATGGCTTATCCTCCTTAGCTTCAAGGGCTCAACAATTTATGTTGGATAAGATTATATTCTTGGTGTCTCTTGAACCTAAGAAAGCTCATGTTGTGCAGTTGATTTTTTTTTTAATTGTCTAGATCCCTCCTCATATTTGATTAAAAAGAAGTAATAAGTATGAAACATTAAAAATGTAAATTTAATAAAGACAAAAAAAAAAAGATTAAACGGAAAAACAAATTGGAAAACAAGGTAGCAACAATGATGCCATTTCAAGCAATATAATGGTTGTTCACAATAGTGAAGAGGTTGCAATGTAATAGCATGACCAATGGTATAACATTTTTTTTTTTTTTTGTGTTTTTTTGTCATAAAAGTTGGAGCAAATCAGGAGAGAAAAAAATCAAGTAACGATACATGCCCACTAGGTGTACAAGTCAAAAATCAAATAATGATACATGCTCACTAGGTGCACAAGTCACGCACACGTACACTTGACTTTCCCTTTTTTATTATTAATTTTGACAATATTTTGAGGTTTAGCATAAGCTCAAATCTCATCCCTCCTCCCTCCTGCCTCTTTCATGTTTAAAAAAAAAAAAAAAAAACTTAATGTGTCTATCTATGGTAAGGTTCATTTGAACCAGAATTCATGTTTTCAAGTGTTGATAGTAGGCAATTCACATTTTCAACTATTTATAGTTTGACAAGAAATAAATTAGATGAAATGCAAAGAGAAAAATGATTGTCATAATGATTTTTCTATACAAGAGGGAGTTTAAACTCCCGATCTCTTTTAAAGAATGAGAGTGTATGACCAATCACGGCAACCAAGCTGATTATTGTGTTTATCTATTAATACAAGTAAAATGTAGCCAAATTGAATGAATATTATTGAGTTAGTATACCATATCCATTATTGAAGGGCAATTGCAACATTTTGGTGGCCTACGTGCGGTTGTGGCATTCCATCATTAACAATACATAAGTTGAATAGAAACATAACTAACTTTAGAGTTTAATAATGTTATATAATCATCATACGAGATAAAATGTTCACGAATTAAAAATAAATGGTAGTAACCATTTTTAACTAAGATACTTCTTAGAAATTTCAATTGTCTTTTTTTATTTTTGACAACACATGTTTCCATTATGTCGAACTATATCATGAACCTCATGAACTCGTCCATATGCTTATGAGGAGGTAAATCAAGTCAATATAGCTTCGAGATTTAACATCAAATTGTACACTCTTGCGCACGAGAAAAGGCCAATAATACAAACTCAAACATTTAATATTCGTGGATGGCAAATTAAAAACCGAACCCCACAATGCTGCTGAAAGCCAAGTCTCAAGTTTCGAGTGTCTTCTTTTAGTAAGCTCAACTTTACGTGCAAGCTAAATCCGTCAAACTCATTAACAATATCTATAAAAACTTCTAACTTGTCAATCAAACTCGACCATCACTGTTTTCGTAACTCAAATTCATATTAATCTACGTCAAATTCAAACTATATCATACTTAGACACCCACACGCCCTAACTAAAAACATGTTTATTTATTGCCACCATTAATCAAGATACACCATGTGGGAGTGACCCAATGTCTTTACCATATTGTTCCCAACCCCTTGGATTAAGTGTGGGTGGGAGTTTAGATAATTGCATAGGACAAGTGAAAATGAATGTAGGCATTGCATGTAATGTCCCAACAGTACTACGTAAGTGACAACGATAATACGTACGATCCCTCCGAATTGTCGATTCATCAATTATTGTTGCAAAAAGTGGGAGTTCATCATAGGCAGAAACACTGATGAGTGCAGTACATTTCATGGGTTTATAACATCTTTAATTACTGTTTTTGGATTGGTCTGTCGTTTGCTTTCTTGAATATAATGGTGATTGTTACCACTTTACAGAGCTGTAGCGCAGAGGGGATGTGGGAAAAAGTGGCTTAGAGATCCTGGTTACATCACTTGTGGATGGCCACCTTAGCTTGTACAAAGGGGAAGAATGAGATTTTTTCTATTATTAATTTTTTGCGTGCCCATAAAAGGGCCGAGTGGTGAAACATAACTAGTTCAAATATTGTACGTCAACACCTTTCTGATTGAGCTAATGTGGTTTGCAGAGAATGCTGGTTATTACACAAAAATTAAATTTACCCGGTAGAAATCATCATCGAATAGTAGTTGCAGGTTTGGACTAACACCCAGGCCATCCGTTGTTTATTTGTGATATGTTGATTTCTCATTAGTGCAATTTTTGTTTACGTCTTTTTAAAACTTCTCATTTTTAATTTTTTTTTTCAAGGAATAATATAAGCATTTAACATTTTATATTCACGATAAACGTTTATATTAAAGCAAGCTAGATTTAAAAAAATATCATGATTTCGTTACATGTCATGATGTCTGTCTAGAATCATGCAACGACTTTCTAGGAGTTTTAGCTTTTAAGATTTAAGAGTGGTGAACTACACAACAATGGCTACAAAGCTCCCTTTCTCCATCATATTGTATTGGTTCAAAACTCTTCCATCTACCTTCTGATGTGTCAAAAGAATGGACCATTGATATTGTCTTTGATGGCTCATCAGTCGTTCGATAGCCCACCAAGAAGTAGAGATGAGACCCCAGCGGGGCCATTGTCAAGTATACTCGTTCAATGGGCTGCCCGATTTCCTCGCATGGAAAAAATCTCTTTTGTGATCCTTCAACCATGTACCAAATGTTGAGTTGCCCATCATAGGCTTCAATGTGACCCTTCCATGCAGTAAGGCAATCCCCGGAGCTAAACAACCTACCATCCACGTCAACAATTTGATTAGGTGGCACGTCCAATTGCCACATCCCTGCCACAAGACCCCACTGATCGCTTGCCACGTCATACACATCGGCCGAGCAACGCTCCACATATTGCATTCCCCCTTCCACAAACCCACCCACCACATAGATTTTTCCTTGCCACGTCACACCCACACACTTGTATCTTTTCCTAGTCATGTTTTGTAGTGGGACCCATTGATCCAAGACGGGATCGTACACCTCTGCAGACGAGATGGCCCTAGCACTGCCCAGCGTGGACTGCCCTCCTGCCACGTAGATCTTGTTGTCCCAAATGGTACAAGCAAAATTATAGCGCGGTACATTTAGCGGTGCACATTTAGACCATTGCCCACTAATGGCATTGTAGTTGTATACTGAAGGGAGTATTTTCACATCAACATCAAAAACCTCTTCAGATCCATTCCCATTTTCGGTTCTATCTTTCGAGCAGAGCCGGCCACCAATTATGTAAATCGAATCTCTGATGGATACCATGGCGAAATCTTTCAACACATGGTTCTCTATTAGGTCGGGGATTTGGCTAACAAAGCTCAACGTGTTATCAGAAGGATTATAACACGCTATCCAATTAGAGACATTGTGTCCTGCCGGATCATTCGAGCAAAACGACGCAAATATGCACCGCTTTGACATGGAATTTTCCGGCAACCTTGACGGCGGCGGGAAAAAGGGACGGGAGCCCACAGGGGCGGCGGGTGCGTGGATCTGCATGTATATATGATGAGTGGCTATTTGGTTTGTGAATTGTTAGCTCCCTAAATATAAAAAGAGATGAGAATTAGGCAGGCGGAGACTTCAACGAGATGCTATTTGTTAATATCGTCATAATAGTTGCTAACATAGATCAAGACAATACACATTAAGTTTAGGATACATCGAAATACTTTTATAGTACAAATCCAGACGGCTTTGTATTGAATGATGGTTTATTGAAAGTATCCTAGTTATCTTTGATTCACATGAAAGGCCGAAAGCCCGTAGCTGCACCTAAATCACTGAATGTGTGCTTTGAGTGAAACTCACCTTATAACCCTAGCTGATAAAAGATCACAAAAAAAAAAACAAACCAACCTAAATTGCCTATAGATGATCGACTAAAACCGAGAAAGTCAATAGACAGCTCCCACGAGACAAACTTAGGAGTAACGGAAGTTATTTAAGTATCCTAGTTATATGCATACTCTTCATGAACTGGACAAAAAGAACTAACACCACAAAAACAGAGGCGCGAGCCCATAAGAAATTAAATTTGTTATTCTGCATTTCAAAGTTCAAACAGCAGGATCTTCAAGTACAGCAGTAGATACATCGTTTATACGAGGGTACGCAGCTTTCTCACCGAGCTGGTTTTGCGTCCAGGTCAACAGCTTCAATAGGACAGGAAGCTTTGGATCTGTGGGTCAATTTAAGTGAAATGGTTTTAGTTGCTGACAAAGTTTAATGAGTGTGATTTCTATAGCTGCAGATGCAATTCTCTGTTCCCTTCACAGTTTTAGTCTGTTCAAATCTTATTCTTGCTAGACTAGAAATCTTGAACTAACTTCATTTGAGAATGGGTTCTAAGTTTACCCTAATGCCACATGCAACCAAGACTTACCACTCAGAAAGCATGATCAATTACCACTCAGTATTCTGTTTATGAAATTTCCCAGAATATATAACGCAAGTCTTAATGGTCAAAAGAGTGAAAGACCAACCTTTTTCATGGCTTTGACTAGTGAGAATTGCAGCATTAATCTCACTTGCAGTCTTTAGACGCTGTGATATATCTAAAAGCTCTCCGACAGGACTGCTGGCAACATCTTCAAATGCAAGCAATGCAACTGTCTTCTCCAACTCCTCCAAAAACCCTAGCTGCAGAGAGGTGATTTTTATTATATTAACAGTAAAGTGCATAACCAAAGAGATGTACTAAGCTTTTAGCGAGCACCAAGTATAGGCACTGGCATCTGAAACATACATAGGTTGTGCAGTAGTAAAACCAAGTGAGTAGCATCAGCTTCCTAAATGATAAGTATGTCGAACTTTTATTTTGGGCAAGATGATAATCATGCCAGAATTAGAAAAAAAAAAAATTGTGCAAGAGTTGATAATTACATTTTCCTCTCCCCTTGGAGCAAGCTCCTCCTGAGCAAACTCCAAAGCCTCTTCCACCTTCCCATTCCTGATCAGTTCTATCAGCCTTTGCTGTTGGAGATGAAAAAAGAGCTGGGGATTTGTATCCAGTATCTGCATCCAATAATTTAAAGTTCATTTTATATACATATGCAAATATTGATTGTACCAAGAGGTGTGCTCTCCACATATGGCTCTTCTGTTAACTGGCCAAGGTGAGGCATCCCATACGGCCATACCTAAGGTCAGCCAGTTCAAATCCCCCATCCTCCTTTAACATACAACTGTAACCCCGAAAAAAAAAAAAAAAAAAAAAACAAAAAAAAACAAAAAAAAACAAAAACAAAAACAAAAAAACTACACAGTATTACAGTAATTTAACAATTGGCTAATACATGATACAGCATATAGAGTTAATAGTTATTGTAACAGAACTCACAATGACTGTTAATCAAATCATTGGCATTATTACCAGAACTCAATGGTGTATTGAGTAATTGTCAATAATAAAACACTCATATAAGGTCCATGGAGGTTAACAACGACTTGCTTGTTTCTCTTCCATTTTAAGAGAAGCAAAAGCTACCTCTAGTAAACTCAAAGTGCAATTATTAACTATGCATCTTCACATGTAAGTTAAGTTCTTGTAACTAAATAGAAAAAAGTCAATTGATAGAAAGGAAGCAAAGTGCATGGAAAGGCACAAATGAGTTAAGAAATAGGATGTTACATGCTTCTCCCAATCAAAGATATATGTCTAATAAGTTTCAACAAAAATAAACCTTGACAGTTTACAAATAGCTTTTAGGGTCTCTAAACACAATGTAATCTGTATCATTAGTGTCTCCATCAGGGACCCCAAAAAGGCCAAAAGCCATTTTTAACGTTTCAGCATTTATGAAAAAATTAGTAAGTTCAGGAGAGGCTCTGATATTTAAGCTGAAAAAAAAAGGGAAGAAGAAGAAGAAGAAATTAAGGTAGACATACCTCAGGATTTAAATCATTAACCTTTTCAATTGCATCTTCAACATTACCACGTTGTACTGCCTCTTTAATTGCCATCCGATCAGTAATGGTCGCAAGATCTATGTCAGCTACTTATTATAAGGAAAGGCAAATTCTCAAATATGCCATGGGATTAATATGAAATTGATAAATAGAAACATGTAAAAACTATACAAGGATACGTTCTGTCCCAGATTCTGTTCGGAACTTCTCTGCTGCTTCCACATAACCCTCAGTCACTAGGAAGTTCATTACTAACTTATTCATATCTTCTTTTCTGATATTAACATCTTTCAGCCTTTTTTCCCACTCATCTCTTGTGATTACTTTCTTTGACATTGCCTGCACAAGGGATGAAAGCATATGCTGACTACATTCAGAGACAAATGCAAACACATATATGCATGCAATGCTGCAATACTAAAAATACAACTAGAAGTCTAAATCACCATAATGTGCAACTTACGTTAAGAAGTAGCATTATAAATAAAAATGCATTGTTATTTGATATCACTGAAACATTACAGCCTGAATAAAACAACAAATACTCTGTAGTATACGAGTGGAACTAAAGCAAGTGACTTGAAAGTAGAAACAGAACTCTAGAACAAAAGTCACCAGACCTCATAAGATTGGCTGCATAGAGCATGCAGCCAAGTCTCACTGTAAAGCTACATAACTATCCATCCCAACTCCAAAGCTTCTAAAGCCTACTAATTTTCACAACAATGATATAAATATCAAAATCACAACAATAGATTTTTTTATTTTTTATTTTTTTTTTAAAAAAAGGACCTTTATGAAGATTTAACATCTCTAGTTAAACCCTTGAAGGTTCAAATTGTATACAAGCTAGTATTTCGACACAAACTAAAGCACTGTCCATATCACTAGAAGCATACCTACATAAATCCCAGTAAGTTTCAATGTTACACTACAAACCCAGTGTTCTCTATACAGTGGATTAGCACTGTTACCAGTGTAGAATCATATGTTGCAATAAATGTGGTGGAAAACTTAGCCAAATTTGTCAAACTGTTGGTTTAGTAACCACAAGGATCCAAGTTCGACTCCCAATGCGAGTGGCCAACATGATTTGAGTGGTCAGCTATAAACAACTTAAAGCTAGTTTATGCTCATTTGCCAAGTTAGGGTCACAAGGTGCACACTCTAGGAAGTGATTGTGGGTTTCCTCGTCACCCAAAAAAAAGTGGTGGAAAACTATGGATTTGAACACTAACATGCCATATTCAAAAGCAGAACTAAAAAAGGAGCATAAGAAAAACTATAGCTCCATTATTATTCTATCCTCCATCTTCCACAATTCAGTCCTCTCGCCATTAAAATCAACATAAATTACTATCCAATTGTAAATTACTTTAACTCCAGGCGACTACATCTGATTAAAAACGCATATTTAAATTAAACTACACAGTAAACACAAGTAAACCAGTCGAAAATTGGAAGGAAACAAGGCCGAAAGAAGGTACTTTGTTTGTTTACCATGGCTTCAATTTCAGCTAATTGACGTAAAACAATCCAGAATAACGACATCAGCTTTCAACACTGACCCATGTAAACCCCACGCCGTTCTCCAATCGAGCAAGGAGATGTGAAATCTCGGGGTGGAAACTTTTGGTCTGCTCGCGCCACTGGTAAAATGGAAAAGTTGCGATCGTCATTTAGCTGGACTCTCTCTTCATTAAATTGTGAGAAATTTCAATTTTGATTTCGGATTGTAATCCGAATTTTTTAAAAAGGAAAAATGACATTTTCAGAATTCCAGTCTAAAGTTATTATTTTAGTGCATGATCAGTTTTAAGTAGAAATGGTTAACAAAAAATGCCTAAATAGTAAATAGCTCATGAGTGTCTTTTATCTTATATTTCCTCTATCGTAAGTTGTGAGGTTTAATAAAATTTATTTTTATATATGATTTGCAAGATATTAAACGTGAATAAGTTTATCATATATACACATTTGAATAGTAATTTCGAGTTTTTTTTCCCACCAAATTAAATGAATCCTAATTTAACATTATTTTTTTCAAAAAAATGTCAGTTTCTCTCTAAGTTATATACTTATAGAGTTAATACCCAAAATCGTCCTCGACTATAGTGGTTTTTCTCAATTTCGTCCTAAACGACTTTGGTGACCTAATATCGTCCCAGACTTTTGTGTTTCGCTCAATTTAGTCCTAGACTTTTGTGTTTTTGCTCAATTTAGTCCCTCATTTGTTATTCTGTCCATTTGGTGTTAAATAAATAGACAATTAAGTAATTTTAATATTGACATCTCTTTACTCATAGACATGTGAACTGCGAAATCTCTTTTTTATACGAATTACTCCCAGAATTACTCCTAAAACTGCGAATATAAAATTTGATTTGCAGGTCCGGGAGTAATTCTGGGTGTAATTCGTACAAGAAAGAGGAATTTCGCACTTCACAAGTTGAAAGTAAAGAGAGATCAATATTGACATTACTGAATTGTCCATTTATTTAACACCAATTTGACGGAATAACAAATGGAGGACTAAATTGAGCGAAACACAAAAGTCTGGGACGATATAGGTCACCAAAGTCGTTTAGGACGAAATTGAGAAAAACCACTATAGTCGATGACGGTTTTGGGTATTAACTCTATACTTATAGCATATTTTCCTTGAATTATTCATGTATTCACATTAGTCACCTTAAATGTTCTAAAAGTGACAATTTTTTCCTCTGATATGTTAAATTGATATTTTTACCCTTAAAATAAATGAAAATTTTATTTTTATTCTCTAACAAATTATGACAACAATTTCAGAACCGACACTATAACAACCAAAGCGAAAGGTTCCGATTACAAATTATTGATTTGTTTTTCTTTTTATTTAATAAACACGCTTACATGGACTTCATATAAATTGTTTTATTTTTAATTCAATAAGAAATAACTTCACATAAGCAAAATACCAACGCGATGTCTTCTCCCTGATAAACCTGTAAAAAATTATAGGCGAAAAAAAATTAATGGTTTGTAAATCAGCATATATGTTATGAAAGGTCCGGGTGAGTGATAGTTTGACTAAAACCCCATTGCAAAGAAATATAGGCCTACAAAATAGTTAAAGCACGAGGAAATGGTAGGAGTACCAAAACTAGTAGCAAGTCCATATGGATTCTCCCCCAAAGAGGCTTGGTGATTGTGAACATAGATCGATGTTTCTTTCATTACTCTCATGTGAGCTGATAGAATGCGTTGAACCCTGCGAGATCATGAAGGAAACTAGATGACATGTTTAAGCTACACAGTAAAAATGAACCATATCGCGAAAGAGGAATGATGGGTGATTTGCATAGTGATACAATGGGCATGGAAAAAGGAATAAGGAAAGTATGGATCCAAATGAATTTCAACGAGGCTGTCAACTGGATCAATGACAATGAGGAAGTGTTAGGCACATGCGAGGACATCATAAAGACATGCAAGTATTGGATGAACAAAGAATGTGATGTCATAATCTTCCATATAAGCAGAGAGTTAAATAAGGTGACAATCAGGTTAGTCAAATTTGCAACAAAAAGAACTGTGATTGGATAGAATTTGAAGTCTCCCAGTAAAGATTCACGGAGATTTAGAGACAAATATAGACTTGATGGCATGACATAACATATCTATAGCTAGACATTAGTCTAGTGAGGTTATCCCCTTTCCCTCATTAAAAAAAAAAAAAAGAGTTTTCTTTGAATAGTTATTACTATGTAGCTTTGTTAACTATTGATGGAGTGATTGACTAGTCTACTCAACTAGTAGATCCATAGATGTTAATTTTAAATTTACTTTGACAAAAAAATATGCACAGTAACTTTTTAAATTGTCATTTTATATAATTATTTGGGAAAATGGCACTTTTTCCCCCTATGTTATATACTTATAGCACTTTTTCCCCCTCAATTATTTAAGTGGCTCTTTTTCCCCCTGAAATGTTAAATGGACATATTTACCTTTAAAATAAATATTTCATTTATTTTTATTCTCCAATAAATTATTACTATAATTTGGTTCAAACCAGATACTATAGTAACCAAACCAAAATATTCCAATTACAATTTATAATCAAAACGCGATATTTAGAGTTTATTAAAATCACGAACTGGAATGGCCGGTTCATGTTCCAAACTGAAAAAATAAAATACATTTATTGCTGAATTTAAAATATTTTAAAATAAAAAATAAAATTTTAAAATAAAGACGGTTCAAAATCGCGAACGGGATCCGAAACCGCCGGTTCATGATCCAATTTTTTTTTATTCTTAAATTTAATAAATTGAAATCCAAATATTGGGTTCTAGATCTGAATCATAACTGAAAACTTTTAATTCGATTGCTATAGTGTCTGGTTCAGTTCGAACCGAACCGTGGTAATCGCTACATATACGCAATAATTTGTTGGAGAAGTAAAATAAATAAAATGTTTACTTTAAGGGTAGAAATGTCAATTTAATATATTAGGGGAGAAAACCACCACTTTTAAAATAATTGAGGGGACTAATGTGCTTACATAAATAATTGAGGGGGAAAAAATGCTATAAGTATATAACATAGGGGGAAAAAGTGCCATTTTCCCTAATTATTTTTTGTTAACTATTGATTGAAAGACACACTTAACCCGTCACTCAAAATGAATTAAATTGAAGTTTTCTTAAATATGTTATTACTATGTACTTCGTAACGTTTTTTGTGCTATTACTTTAAATTATTTTAAAAATTATTGATAAATAAATTTGTACACTTAAAAAGTTGTTCAATACAAATCAACTTGAAATTTAATTAGACTAATTATTACTTTGTAATTGTTTGGAGATGTTATTTTGAGAAATTTAATTCGACTAATTATTATTCATTAATGTTGTTGAGTTGTTATTTTATATTAAATTTTATTTAAATCATTGGTGGATGATTCCACTCAATATCGTATAAATTAACTTAAATTTTTCTTAAACTATTTATTTATTACGGAGTACTTCTTAACCTGTTAAAGTCATTATTTATATTATTTATTTAAATTATATATAAGTTAGCCCATAAGCCCATTTAACTGACCTCTGAAAAAGAGTTAATTAAACGTTATTGATCATTCGATCAAACCAAATGATGCATGATGCCTGTTGGTCCGTTATGGATTTTATGGTATCACAATTCTTTTCAGATTATGAGTTCTGATTGTTGTTTGTCTGATTACGGTACTCACAAATTTCTTCCACCATAGTCTATATATCCTTAAGCGTGTAATTTCCTGTTTCCGTTCAAAAGCAACGTCATCCCCAAGCTAAAAAGGAAAAAAAAAAAAGGTCAGAAAAATACAAAGTCTCGTCACTGAAATCGAAAGGAATCTTCTTGCAAACTTCGATTGCAACTCGGTCTTCTACTCTTTCCCCACCTGTACAGACGCATATAGACAACAATTATAGGTGAAGTGAATGAAAATTACCTTGATTAGATCGTGTACAGAATTTGAGAGCTAGGGTTTTTGTTTCCGCTCTAATTGGTTGGTTGGAATTGCGATGATGATGGCGAACGGGGCCGCGGAAATACGGTGCCCGGAGGAGCCGTCGGCAGCCGGCGGCGAGGATTGTGAAAACCCTGAGCATCTGTCTATCGATATCGAGGCGCTATGGGGCATGCTTGGGGATAAGAATTCCGAACCTTCGCAGGTACGTAAAAATTTTGTGAAATTTCAGCTAACGAACTGATGATCAGTTTGATGGTTTCATTTTGTGTAACTTCCATAGAAAATAGTAATCTCGAGCAATTCAGTGTAAATTCAGGTCTGCGCGTGTATATTGTGAATTGGAATAGATGATCTAGTTTCGTTTTGCTAGTTCAATGTCCCATGGCTAGTTAAAGGAGTGGTACTTTAGGTTTATAGTGATCATAAGAATTTTGTGCAGTGCACATAGTCAACACTTGTAGATTGTGACCGTATTTCAAATTTTAGAGAAAAGTTTACTTCTGATCGATATAGACTTCATCATACAATGATTGAATTAATGATTCCATGCAATTGCTTAATTTTTTTAATTCTGGTTTGCAGAGTACGCTCGGGGATTCACAGGATGACATGCCACATGGTAATTTAGCAGTATTAACTACTGGATCCTTATATATGTACATATTTCTTTTTCTTATATTGTTTCTGACCATTTGGTTGTCAAAACAATCTATTCTAAAATCTAAATTGTACCCAGATGTGATATTATGAGTGAAAGGAATTGATATTCTAGTGGTTATTATCAATCTTATCTAATGAATACATTGTGGAGATTATTATAACTTATTACTATTGTTGTTGATTATGTGTCTTTTTATTTTTGCAGGAAACTCTTCCTCAACGGTTCCATTTTCAGCAACTTCATTTAAGCCAGAGGCTTTGGATTGTAGGATTGGACTTTCAAATGGTTCACCTAGCGATTTGACAGGGAGATCTGTAATAATTGATGCCCCAAAGTTTGACTCTTCACTTCAAGTTGGCTCTGCAGTGCATGTTTCAGATGGGAGCCTGAGTGACTGGAAGCTTCCAGGCAATGGTAAGTGCTGTTCAGATATTGATAATGCCTCTCAGAGTGCTTCATCTAATATCCAAGCCATGTTGTCATCTATTATAACAGAATCTTCTGGGGTGGAATTGGATATGCCTTCATATGATGAACCTCTCTCTGCCTCCAATCCAGCTGAGACTTTTGATTATTTGGGTGGAAATTGGGGGCAGTACCCTGACATATTGTC